TTTAAATTTAAGAAAGTTAGATAAAATAATTAAATACTTTGCAAATTACAGTGATTAATAATTATCTTTATATAAATTAATTTTCTTGTGTAAAATATAGAGTACGGAAATGACAGATAAGGCATTTCACGAAGATTGGCATTTACTCAAACCATCGATAAAACGTATGTTTATTTTAATAATTATGGCAAATAATTTAGAATGCAAACTTGCAACGTTTGAAAATTTCAATCTTTCTCTACCTTCATTTATGGTGGTAAGATTTTTATATATTTTCACTTTGTGTTTATATATTATACTCTAATGCCGTATTATATCTCGTTTATTTTCAAAAATTATTCGTTTTTTCAGATTTTAAATCAATCGTATTCGATTTCTCTTCTATTTCTAAAAATGAAATAGAAAGCGATGAAAAATCTTATCTGCAGTAATTGTTTGTTTCCTTAGTATATAATAGTTATTTATATTTGTTATTGTTATTATTTAAAAAAATATAATAAAAGTTAATAATGGAGGATGAACTATTTATATTGTCGAAACATTTTTTACTTCAGTAAAGTACCTGAAAATAATTCGCTAAAAATTAGTGATTAAAATAAAATGCTAGTATTAATATATATTACGATTGAACCTTGTATACATATATATAGCTATTCTATGAAGAACAATAAAAGTAGCGATCCGTTATGACAAAATATTTACATGTATGAAGTTTATTACAGCTTGCGTATATTTGAAAGAATCAAATCCATAATAAAAAGTGATAAAATATCTGAAATGTGTTTGTATTGAAAAATTTGAACGTCTACCAGCATCGAATTCGACAGATAAAAATCTTTTGCGACATGTTGCTTTCACTGAAAGGCATGTAGTGGCTAAAGTTTGTTCGTGACATGTTGCTTTTGCCAACAAGTGGCGCAAAATTGAAGTCTAAAAAATGGGTGTATGCACAATAATAAAAAGTTCTTACATATCGCTGTAGCATCATATAAATAGTAAAATATACTAAGTTCTAACATTTAAAATATATTAAAATATTTTGCCGTTCTCAATTACTTTTACGTACACATCTATACAATCATCGACATTTTTTAATTCTGACATATAAATTTTTGGATAAATGTAAATATATGTATTGTTTTTTTTCCGTTTACTAAAGCAATTTTTTATTAACAATATATGCGGCATGAAAATACACTGTTAAAGGAAAAGAAAATCTATTTTAAGAACGTTTTTGTGATGTATTAAAATTGAGTTGTTCAATTCATGAATATATAAAATCGTTATAGAATACTTTACAGAGTAACATTGGCATGTTTAACAGATTAGTTTATTACAGATCTTTTGCACGTTGTAATGCTGCAACGATCAATAATGTGCAAGAAGATATGACCGCCGCATAGTTCAGCACTAATTATAAAAATTTTTACGGTTGCATCTATCCTTAAAATTAAATGAATAAGTGCTTTAAGAATTGTCTCTTATTTTGTCGCAATATTTCTTTATAAAATATACATATTTTATAAATAAATAAATAAATATTTAAGTATATATTGTGTTCTTATGCAACAGTTAATAGATATGATAAACATTCTCTCTCTTACGTACTTCAACGTATATAATTGTTTTTTGTTTTCAGATTAGATGCTGACTTACAAGTTTTCCAGATGTTACCAGATTGATTTGTTGCCCATAGATATGTAAAGCTGCTTCTAAATATCTGACACTGTTTTAGATTCGATCAACGAACTTTAATGACGAATAGATCCATCGCAGATATAGTTCTCTATCAATGATACGCACGTCAAATACTGTTGGATACTGCTACTGTTCTGGACTTCACAGACTTCTGCAAAACATTTAATAATACACAATAAGATATCGACCGCTGTAGAGCTTAGCGTTCTCTCTAATTTCATGATCGTATTCAGCCCTATTGTAAATGATCTAAATAAGATACCTCAGTAGATGGTGTCTTCTATTATCGCGATATTTATATTTTATTGTTGGTGGTACAATAAAAACTCTTCTAAAGCATTTCTGAGAAATCCGCGAAATTATTAATGATAATTATTCTTTGGTACTCTTATTGTTAGACAAGCGTCAAAGGCAACAACGAAAAAGGAATGTCGCTGATTATATATTAATGGTAAACTATAGAACACATAATTTCAACGGAAAAGTCACATGTGAATAATATATATATAAATTAAATGATTTGCTCAAAGCCTGTGAGAAGAAATCTTTTATGACTAGCTTTCATAGTTTTGATAAAAATGCTATACATAGAAAGAAACATGAGACAGAGCTAAATGCGAATATAAAGATCCGCACGCAATACGAATATAAATATACGTACTTTTGGTAATAACAGTTAATAAAGTTTTTATATAGCTTTTGAAAAACATTTTCTTTAAATACAACATTATCAAAGGTGATTAAACCAGAACTGTTAATAATACTAAATCATTGACTGAATAAATATAGCTAAATTAAGATCGAATAAGTTGCTAAAATTAAAAAAGTGCATTTTGAAATCATTATCAGTCAAATATTGAAGATTTGTAAGAATAAATTTAAATAAATTTGTTTAAGGATAAATCGCATAAAAATTATTTACTAGAATTAATAGAACAGTTTAATCAAACTTTATTATATGATCTTTTTATTTTGATTATTTGGCTCTTAGACATTTCGTTTTACAGGACGATCTCTATTCGTCAGAAAAGCGATATCGTAAATAGATAATACATGGATTTTCAAAGCGTGAATCCCCTAAACGTACGACTGAACATGATCTCAGGCAATCTGTTACCGATGACTACTGACGATTCATCATTTCCTATAGTATGGAGGATGTACAGTGCTTTAGTGTGGTTGCTAGAAATAATTCAAATGTGCGCGCTAATTCCCGGTTGCATCATTATGCCAAAAGAGAAAGCTCTGAAAGATGGTCTGATTGGTATTGCCATTACCATGGAAGTGGTCTACACGGTCACGCGAATTCATACGCATAAGGCATTAGTACAACGATTGATTCAGAAACTGAACAATATTATGGACGCGAAGAACGAGATGATGAGGAGTACGGTGATGGCGACGCTGAAACCGATGGAGATTCTTTTCAAATTTTATTGGATGGCAGGCATGGTGTCCATAATGATGTGGACCACCGTGCCGTTTACATTGGTTTCTAAAAAAAATTCCTTTTTTTATATGGATTACAGAATGCCGGTCTTGTTTTCCAAAGAGCCATTCTCGACCAGTATTTTTGTATCGGGAAGTCTCATTGTAATGTTCAGCAGCTTGTACATCTTTACAAAGAAAGTTAGCGTGGATAGCTATGTAATAAATATGGTATTGTTGATAACGGCACAATACAAATACATTGCGTTGAAACTCTCAATGATATTTCAAGACAAAAGATTGCAAAATAATTACAGCAGTTCTAATGAAAAGAAGCATTATTCTGAGACAAATTTTTACGCGGAGAAGGAGATCAAATCTTTATGTCAGCATCATAACGCGGTTCTTCAGTAAGATTATTTGCCACAAATCATTAGTAAAATCAGAAATTATGTATATTAAAAAATTTTTATTCTATATAAATCATCTTAGTTTTTAAATTTAAAGTTTAAATTGATGAGAAAAATGTACTCTAATTTTATTAAATTATAAATGAGTTTAATGTAAAGCATTTTATGGGGCAATATCTGTGCAGATAGATTTATGTGTCGTGATTAACTTGTTGAATTTTTGTTTAATACTATATTGATTGTTTTATTTTTATTATATCTTTTAATAAATCTTTTTTTTATATAATTTTTAATATGTATAATCATATTCTTTATTTCAGCGTCACGTTAATGCTAAGAGAACTGCTATCTGTAAGCTTCAGTATATTATATTTAAATAGCGTTTTCCGGTTTTGCTGCATTGCTATCATGGTGATCTCAGTGAGTAGAAATTTCTAATACTAATTACTCTAAAAAATATTTGCTCTTATGTATAATGCTACTCTATCTTAAATAATTATCAATTATAATATATCACCAATTTATCTTATTTTTTGTGACTTTATGCTGCAATTTCAGGTACCATCATGTGATTCGATCGAACGAGCCGTATTTATCATGTATGCGTCCGGTGGAGTAGTGCAGCTCTACATATTGTGTTCTTGTGTGCAAAAATTACTAGATGCGGTAAAATTTGTTGAAAGATAAACTCTTATATAAATTTTACATACAAGAAAATATTTAATCGAAAAATTTGTTATTGACAAAAAAATACATTACTATGTATAAATTGTTACATTCTCTCTAAAATTTAGAGCATTGAAATAACGGACCAAGCATTTCACGAGGGATGGTATCGATTCGGAACATCCATAAAACGAACATTTATGTTTATGATAATGGCTAATAATTTAGAACTTAAACTTTCAACATTTGAAAAATACAATTTGTCTCTATCTTCATTCATGGCAGTGAGTTTATAAGTGCATTTTGTATTCTAGTCCTTTTAATATTTTAAAATATTTATTGTATATTTTTGAATAATATTCTAGATCTTGAATCAATCATATTCAATCGCACTGATACTATTAAGAACTAATTGAAAAGTGATGAGTTTTAAGTAAATTCTATATACACACAAAGTAAGTGTATGATTTCCTATTCTGCAAACAAAATATATGTAAAAGTTAAATTAGTAAAAATCAATTTTATATTTTTTAAAAACATATGTATAACAATTGTTTCAGAGTAAAATCAACATTAAAACTAGTTACTAAATTATAAAATGTAAATAGCATTACTAGTAAAATATAGCTTTGGATTCGGCTCTCAAAACCAGAAAACTTTCTTAATACTTCTGCAAATTTATTATTAATAAAATATTAAATAGTAATTAACTAAATATAATAACTTACTTTAAGAATTAGACTGCGACGTATGAAGAGGAAATGGTTAAATAATTTATATCAGACATTAAACATTTTAATTTATAGAAACAGTTTGACCTACTGAAATATTTTTTCTTATTATTAGTATATGCCAGATTAATGCACAGTCGATATATAATACACGTCAGTCAGTAGTAAGTTGTCAGCGTTTTTTGAATCTTGGTATTCTGCGAAGATCGCGGAGGGAAAGAAAGACATATAAGATAATTATTACCTTATCGAGCATTCACGATTGAAATGCAGGATACAAAATAAAGTAAGAGGCTATATGTATATTTGCAAGAAACATTGCGCAAAATTGCTCTGTCGTTCAATTACTCGTTTCTTATCGACAAATTAGCGTCATTGAACATGCAAACTTTCCTTGTCCGATTGGTGTATACTCACCCTAACAACACACAAAAGATGTTCAAAAGATGTTTAGAAGACACCCAGAGGATGTTTTATAGAGGATGTAAAACATCCTCTGTACTGGATGGGACCCTCTGTACCGTACGGAAAAACATCTTAATCTATAGAAACGACCTATTGAAATAATTTTTCTTTTTGTTAGTATATACCAGGTTAATTCATAATCGATATATAATACACATGAGTCAGTAGTAAGTTGTCAGTGTCTTTTGAGTCTTGGTATTCTGCGAGGATTGCGGAGGAGGAAAGAGACATATAAGATAATTATTACTTTATCGAGCAGGAATGATTACAAGCAAGTTTACAATCGCGTTTATTCCTGTAATATAATTTTCTGTGATCGATAGACATCTATGAACGCAAATTATAATTTTTTTAATTAATGGATAAAAAAGTCTCCTTAATTTACGAGGTATTCAGAACTCTAATATTGCAACAAATAATTCATACACTCAAGTAATGATCATAAAGCAATTATCGATCACTAAAATGATAAAAGCATATTTCTGTTTTGTATACAATTCCGCGTAATGATAGCGTATAGTGCATCGTGAAAATAGGAGAAATGCAAAGAGAAAAATAAATTGTGTTCAAGGTATAGCAATAACATTCAAATACTTTTTGTTCTTCTCGACAGAACGAAGCATAAAACATCGATAGAGAAACGTGAAACGTAGAAGTAAGTCCATATATATTTATATATATAAACTATTCATTTATTTTTATTTAAAATATATGTAGTACTAAAATTAGTTGTCTTGTAGAGCAATGTTACAAAAATTGAAATTAAAAAAGCTGATTCTCTTTATTTTTGAAAGCTTTATAAAGAATAAATATTTCTAATTGATTAAATAATATTGAGAAATCTTAAATATTATATAAAATAACACGTATACATTGCACACAATAATACGTGACACAAACGAAATTTTAAGAAATGGTCACATTTAATACAGTTTCACTTAATACATAATAAAAACACGTAATGACGAAAAAGTAGAATCAGTCAGTCAAAGCCTCAATTATTATGCCTTTTGTTCCACAGAAAAATATTTATTTGTTACAAAGAGCAATATGGAGTTTATGGATCTACAAAATGTGAATTCTTTAAATGTTCGTTTAAACATAGTCTCAGGTAATTTGTTACCGATGACTACTGACCATTCATCGTTCTCCATATTCTGGAAAGTATACAGCTTTCTAATATGGTTGGTCGAAATAGTTCAAATATGTGTGCTAATTCCTGGGTGCATTCATGTACCGAAAGAAAAGGCTCTAAAGGACGGTCTGATTGGTATTGTGGTGACAATAGAAGTGGTCTTCTTGGTCGTACAAATTCATGCTCGTAAGAAATTGGTGCAGCAATTGATCCAAAAATTGAATGATATCTTACACATGGATGACGAAATTATGAGAAACGTAGTAATAAACACAATAAAGCCAATAGAGATACCTCTTAAATTTTTCTGGACAGCCGGCGTGATGTCCATAGTTATATGGAGTAGCGGACCGTTTATGTTAGTTTTTCAAAAAGATATCTTTTTCTACGTGGATTATAGAATGCCGGTAGTGTTTTCCAAAGAACCATTTTCGACCAGTATTTTTGTATTGGGAAGTCTCGTTGTAATGCTCAGCAGCATGTACATCTTTACGAAAAAAGTCAGCGCGGATAGCTACATGATAAATCTGATATTGTTAATAACGGCACAATATAAATACATTGCTTTAAAACTCTCGATGATATTTTGCGATGGAATTTCGCAGATTAATTACAATAGTTCTAATCAAAAGAAGTTTCATTCTAAAACAAATTATGATGCAGAAAAGCAGATAAAATCTTTATGTCGACATCATAACGCGATTATTCGGTAAGTTTATTAGCTGAAAGTTGTCAATACAATCAGATACCTTTTATGAAAATTTTTTGATTTAATAAGAATCTTATAATGACGTTATCTAATTAATATAAAAAATACACATAATTTATTAAATTTTATAAACAAGATAAATCCGAAACGTTTTCTATTGTTGTAATATTTATTGAAATCGATTTATTATAATTGACATTTAATATAATATTTTAATTTCATTCTTTAATATGATATATAATGTGATAATATTTGTGGATTTTGTTTCAGCATGTCATTAATGCTAAGAAAATTGCTATCTTTGAATTTTAGTGTAATATATATTATCAGCGTTTTTCGATTTTGCTGCATAGCTATTATGATAATATCAGTAAGTAATAATTTTTGACACTAATTAATCTAGAATTAATATGCTTGGTAAATATAGCTAGACAATATAATGCTGGTGTATTTTATCGCAAGTTATAATATATCATCGTTCTTCATGATTCTTTGTATCTTTATGAAATTTCAGATACCGTCAGCTACTTTGTTGGAAACGCTCGTGATCGTTATGTACGCGTCCGGTGGTGTAGTACAGCTTTACATATTGTGTTCTTGTGTGCAACAGCTATTAGATGCGGTAATTACAGTAATGCATACTTTTACATATAGATATTAAGTACAAAACGTAACAAAGAAATGTAAAAATTTAACAAAAAATATTATTATCTATATATATATGTGTGTGTATGTGTTATTTTTTTCTAATTTAGAGTATTGAAATAACGGATCAAGCATTTCACGAGGAATGGTATCAATTTGGATCTTCTATAAAACGGACATTCATGTTTATGATAATGGCTAATAATTTAGAACTTAAACTTTCAGCGTTTGAAAAATACAATCTGTCTATGCCCTCATTTATGGTGGTAAGTTATGTATATCACTTATTGTAAAATATTCTATTATCATTTTTATTAATAATGTCATTTTCTTTTATTTTAAAATTGTTTTTAATAATATTCTAGATCTTAAACCAATCATACTCCATTGCGCTTCTATTATTAAAAACGAATTGAAAAATAAGGATGTTACTTTATTGATTTTACATACAGTAAGTGTTTATTTTATTATAACAAATAAAATATTTAAAAATTTATTTAATTTTTTAAATCAAACTTTCATTATTCTAAAATATATACTTTTTTTTTACTATAGATAATGTTAATAAAATAAATGTAGATAATGATAATACAGAGAAAAAAAAACAATTAACAAAGTAAAAAATGTTAGTAAAAATGCTAATACAATTTATTGATTTTACTGTGACGGAGAATTGGAAAGCAATAAATCCTAACTGTTTATGACAACGTGAAATGTTGAATTTATAATAGAGTTTATTCTTGAATCTTATCTTACATTAAATAAGAATTAAACATTTCCAATTAATATTAATTATTTTTAGTACATAAAAAACGTAAAATTTCTTCGTGTTGGGACAAAAGCGGGTACCTACACACCTCATGTAATGAAAAGAGGAAAAATTGTTATTCTTTGTCTCCCTACAAAAAGTAGTTAGAAACGAAAACTACCACTCAGAAAAAGGAATCACTAAAAAAAATGCTTTTTGAGACCCCTAAAGTTAAAAAATTAAATAAGAATGTCCTGCAGCAATGTAGAACAAGAGGATAATTTTATTTGTGATTTTTATCAACAGAATACATCTTTGTATTTTGATTAAAATAAATCTAGATTTTGTAATTGAACGGTGCTTTATATGTTTTTAAATGGGTGCCCGGTTTTACCCTACTGGTAGGGCAAAACCGGGTATTTTGACTTCTCCAAAAAATCAACAATAGACAACTAGCCTCATTTTCTCATAGTTTAAGTTCCATTAAAGACTACTAACGGCAAAATCTTTTTTACTTTCTGATTTTTTGTAGGAAGACAAATCCAAAAAAGTACCCGGTTTTATTCCACTTTCCCCTATATACATATATATACAATTATTAATCATATCATATATTAACTTACTAAAACACTGAGTAGTAGTTATTCCATGTCAAGCTAAAGTTTTCTCATCGATGTACCATGAGTTAGACATTAGTACATTCTATGCGTCTGTCGGATTGTCCGTGAGGGTCGCAGCCATATACCATAAGATAATTATAGCTTTATATTTATAAAAACGTGATAACCTGAAATAAATTTATAGTCGTATGTCTTTCTATACTGAATCAATCATGGTCTACCACAACATTTATATTTTTTTTTTTTCTTAAAATTCTTTTATATTTGTACATTAATGCACAAAGTTTTTCTGATTTATCAAGTATTCAGAAAATTGTGATGCCTATTAATCATTCACCTGCGATGCATTCAAGCAATAATAATACGGCAGTCGGATTATTAGATTAGATAGAATCAACAGAATGAAAGGAACAAATTTTATATTTTATGTATATTGTCGCATAATGATAGCGTATAGTGTATTAGAAACCAGGAAGAATTAGAGAGAAATATTAAATTGTTGAAGTTATAGCAATAACTTTTAGATACTGTTAGAAATATCTTTATACATTTTGACAGAAAAGAGTGTGAGCGATATAAGAACGTAAAGCAGGGGTAAGCTTATATATATACACGATGTCTACATATTTTTATCTAAAATATAATACCAAAGTAACTTTTTTATGGAACGAGTATTATGATTGAAATTAATGAAGCTGTCTTTATTTATTTTTGGAAGCTTTAGATTTAAAAAAAATATTGCTAATTTAACTTTATTAATTGCGAGCTCGTTGATTATAAATGAAAAACATATTCAGAGATATTAATAAAATCCTAAGAAATAATCAAATAAGTAATCATTAATAAATTTTATTTAATATGCAGTAAAAACATAATTATGAAAAAATAGAATCGACCCAATCAAAGTCTCAATTATTATTAAATTTTCCGTTTTATATAGAATAAAACTTATAACAAAGGACGACATCAAGCCTATGGATATCCAAAATATCAATCTTTTAAATGTTCGACTGAACATGATCTCAGGTAATCTTTTACCAATGACTGCAAAAAATTCATCGTTTCCCGTATTATGGAGGATGTACAGCTTTCTAGTGTGGTTGCTTGAAATAGTTCAAACATGTATAACAATTCCCGGATGCATCTTTGTGCCGAAAGAAAAAGCTCTAAAAGATGGTTTGGTCGCTATTGTGGTCACAATAGAAGTGGTCTTCCTGGTCGTACAAATTCACGCGCGTAGGAGATTAATGCAGCAATTGATCCAGAAATTGAATAATCTTTTAGGCATAGAAGACAAAATGATGAAAAGCACGGTAATAGCGACGTTGAAGCCGATGAAGATTCCCCTTAAGTTTTACTGGATGGCCGGCATGGTATCCATAATTATATGGAGTGGCGTACCGTTTACGTTAGTCTTTCAAAGAGATATCTTTTTCTATGTGGATTACAGAATGCCGATTGCCTACACCAAAGAACCATTCTCGACCAATATCTTTGTATTTGGAAGTTTTATTATAATGACCAGCAGCATGTATATTTTTACAAAAAAAGTCAGCGTAGATAGCTATATGATAAATCTGATATTGTTAATAACGGCTCAATATAAATACATCGCTTTAAAACTCTCAATGATATTTCACGATGAAATTTCGCAGTATGATCATAATTATTCTAATCAAAAGAAGCATTATTCTCAAACAAATTATGATGCAGAAAAACAAATGAAATCTTTATGTCAACATCATAACGCGGTTATTTGGTAAATTTATTAACTGAAAATTTGATATCTATAGAATCAGATACTTCTTTTCTCGACATCTTTTTTGATTTAATATAAATCTTTTCATTACGTTTTTTAATCAATAAAAAAAGCACTTAAATAATTAAATTGCATAAACAAAATAAATTTTGAATATTTTACTGTAATATTCAATTAGATATAGATATTCTTATTATTGTAATGAAAATTTAATACAAGATCTTAATTTTATTTTTTGATATTAATATATAATTTGATAATATTTTAAAAACTTTGTTTTAGCGTAACGTTAATGTTAAGAAAACTGCTGTCTTTAAATTTTAGTCTAATATATGTTATCAGTATCCTTCGGTTTTGTGGCATCGCTATCATGGTAATTTCAGTGAGTGAAAATTTTTAACGTCAATTCAATTTCAATAAGTTCATTTAGAAATTATTAGCCATATAAAGATAATATATCAATCATGTATCTTATCGCAAAATATTGTCAATTATAATGTGTCACCAATCATATCATAATTCTTTTATTTTCTTAAAACTTTAGATACCATCAACTACTTTATTGGAAGGATCTTTGATCGTTATGTACGCGTCTGGAGGAATAGTGCAGCTCTATATAATATGTTCTTGTGTACAGAAGCTATTAGATGCGGTAAATTTAATTTTAATATATGCTTTTTACATATATATATATATATATATATCAGTTACGAAACAGTAACAAAAATACATTATTATGCAGATATTAGATAGAGAGAGAAACACTTATTATACATTGTTATACATTGTTTTATCATATATTATTATACATATTACTGTATTCTTTGTAATTTAGAGCGTTGAAATAACAGATCAAGCATTTCATAAGCAATGGTATCGATTCGGAGCATCTATAAAGCGAACATTTATATTTATGATAATAGCTAATAATTTAGAACTTAAACTCTCAAAATTTGAAAAATACAATTTGTCTCTGTCTTCTTTCATGGCAGTAAGTTTATTAATGCATTTTGTATTCTATTCCTTTTGTTAATATTTTAAAATATTTATTGTATATTTTTGAATAATATTCCAGATCTTGAATCAATCATATTCAATCGCACTTTTACTATTAAGAACTAATTGAAAAGTGATGAGTTTTAAGTAAATTCTATATACACACAAAGTAAGTGTATGATTTCCTATTCTGCAAACAAAATATATGTAAAAGTTAAATTAGTAAAAATCAATTTTATATTTTTTAAAAACATATGTATAACAATTGTTTCAGAGTAAAATCAACATTAAAACTAGTTACTAAATTATAAAATGTAAATAGCATTACTAGTAAAATATAGCTTTGGATTCGGCTCTCAAAACCAGAAAACTCTCTTAATACTTCTGCAAATTTATTATTAATAAAATATTAAATAGTAATTAACTAAATATAATAACTTACTTTAAGAATTAGACTGCGACGTATGAAGAGGAAATGGTTAAATAATTTATATCAGACATTAAACATTTTAATTTATAGAAACAGTTTGACCTACTGAAATATTTTTTCTTATTATTAGTATATGCCAGATTAATGCACAGTCGATATATAATACACGTCAGTCAGTAGTAAGTTGTCAGCGTTTTTTGAATCTTGGTATTCTGCGAAGATCGCGGAGGGAAAGAAAGACATATAAGATAATTATTACCTTATCGAGCAGTGGTCGTACAAATTCACGCGCGTAGGAGATTAATGCAGCAATTGATCCAGAAATTGAATAATCTTTTAGGCATAGAAGACAAAATGATGAAAAGCACGGTAATAGCGACGTTGAAGCCGATGAAGATTCCCCTTAAGTTTTACTGGATGGCCGGCATGGTATCCATAATTATATGGAGTGGCGTACCGTTTACGTTAGTCTTTCAAAGAGATATCTTTTTCTATGTGGATTACAGAATGCCGATTGCCTACACCAAAGAACCATTCTCGACCAATATCTTTGTATTTGGAAGTTTTATTATAATGACCAGCAGCATGTATATTTTTACAAAAAAAGTCAGCGTAGATAGCTATATGATAAATCTGATATTGTTAATAACGGCTCAATATAAATACATCGCTTTAAAACTCTCAATGATATTTCACGATGAAATTTCGCAGTATGATCATAATTATTCTAATCAAAAGAAGCATTATTCTCAAACAAATTATGATGCAGAAAAACAAATGAAATCTTTATGTCAACATCATAACGCGGTTATTTGGTAAATTTATTAACTGAAAATTTGATATCTATAGAATCAGATACTTCTTTTCTCGACATCTTTTTTGATTTAATATAAATCTTTTCATTACGTTTTTTAATCAATAAAAAAAGCACTTAAATAATTAAATTGCATAAACAAAATAAATTTTGAATATTTTACTGTAATATTCAATTAGATATAGATATTCTTATTATTGTAATGAAAATTTAATACAAGATCTTAATTTTATTTTTTGATATTAATATATAATTTGATAATATTTTAAAAACTTTGTTTTAGCGTAACGTTAATGTTAAGAAAACTGCTGTCTTTAAATTTTAGTCTAATATATGTTATCAGTATCCTTCGGTTTTGTGGCATCGCTATCATGGTAATTTCAGTGAGTGAAAATTTTTAACGTCAATTCAATTTCAATAAGTTCATTTAGAAATTATTAGCCATATAAAGATAATATATCAATCATGTATCTTATCGCAAAATATTGTCAATTATAATGTGTCACCAATCATATCATAATTCTTTTATTTTCTTAAAACTTTAGATACCATCAACTACTTTATTGGAAGGATCTTTGATCGTTATGTACGCGTCTGGAGGAATAGTGCAGCTCTATATAATATGTTCTTGTGTACAGAAGCTATTAGATGCGGTAAATTTAATTTTAATATATGCTTTTTACATATATATATATATATATATCAGTTACGAAACAGTAACAAAAATACATTATTATGCAGATATTAGATAGAGAGAGAAACACTTATTATACATTGTTATACATTGTTTTATCATATATTATTATACATATTACTGTATTCTTTGTAATTTAGAGCGTTGAAATAACAGATCAAGCATTTCATAAGCAATGGTATCGATTCGGAGCATCTATAAAGCGAACATTTATATTTATGATAATAGCTAATAATTTAGAACTTAAACTCTCAAAATTTGAAAAATACAATTTGTCTCTGTCTTCTTTCATGGCAGTAAGTTTATTAATGCATTTTGTATTCTATTCCTTTTGTTAATATTTTAAAATATTTATTGTATATTTTTGAATAATATTCCAGATCTTGAATCAATCATATTCAATCGCACTTTTACTATTAAGAACTAATTGAAAAATGGTGAGCTCTGTGTAAATTTTATGTAGTAAGTATACAATCTCTCATTCTACATACAATATAAATGTAAGAGTTAAAATATTTAAGATTAATATTACATTTTTCTAAAATATATAACAATTTTTGCAGAGTAAAAACATGTTATAAAATATAATACACATTAAAACTAATAATTAAATCACAAAATGATGTAAGTAATAATCATCATATAAGTAATAATATCAATAAAATTTACATAGATTTGTTTGTAATGGAAAGATTATAAGTAATAAAAATTTTATCTATGTATGCTAACGTATAACAAAATTTATAACAATGTGTATTCTTATACTTCAAATTTTAATAATAATTATATATTTTTAATTAATACTGTTACTTTTAATTTTAATGTAAACTTTTGTCTTTAATATTAGGTAGTTACCATTAAATAAATACTATTTAATAGATACTTTTATATCACTATTATGTTTATTATATGTAACGGCTAATAATTTGGAGCTTAAACTTTTGGTTTAAAAAATACAATCTGCTTTTGCCATCATGGTGGTGAGTTTATATATATTTCGTATTCTAATATATTTTATTAGCATTTTCAGACTTTTATTTTAAAAGTTTGTTCTGTCTTAAATAACGGTTATATATTTTTAATTGTGATAGCAGTTATTTATAATGTGTAAAAAATCATAATGTGCATAAAATTTTTATATTTTCGAAAATTTATTATTAAGAGAAAATCAAATAATAATAAATTGAAGGTAATAACTTACATTTATAATCAACTTGCGGCATATAAAGATGGAATATTTAATTATTTTATAGATTAATCTATTGAAACACAGTTTGTAGTAGTTTATTTCAGATTAATATAAAGTTCTTCTATATTGCGATGCAACGTGTATGAAACAGTAGCAAGTTTTAAGCACCCTCCGAGTTTTACAGTTCTGGCAAGGATAGAGGGTCACAACTCCGCAGCATAAGATAATCGCTACTTTGTACTGCGTTGATAGTAATTACAAGCAAGCATATAGTCGCGTTAAAACTTTATTATCTTCAATAAATCGCCATTAATTATCGTAACATTTGTTCTTTCACAAACTCCCTTATATTCGTATACATAGTATTCCTGACTTATTAGCTATTTATAATGTCGTAATTATTATTGACTCCATATTATCACATTCTTATAATTTGCGGCTTCTAATTGTTCTAAGCATTCTTTTTTTTATTGTTATTACATTTTACTTACTGTTAATTAATGCAATATTATATATACATATATATACATATATCGGCAATATGTTTTCACATATACATGTCTTTAGGTACCGTCGATAAATTTTCTGGATGGTTTTTCGATCAGTATGTACGCGTGTGGCTCAATAGTGCAATTCTATATGTTGTGTTCTTGTGTTCAACAATTATTAGACGCGGTGAGTTTGGTTGTAATATAGTGTTTACATCGGTTTTCTTTGTTTCAAGTTCAATACTGATATTTATATATTAAATTAATACATAAATATATTTAAAAAAATTTATAAAAATTTATACTCCTTTTTAGCTTTGCAATAACAAAAAGATGATTTTTGAATAATTATTATAGTTTATTTTAACAAAAATTTGTAATGTAAAAAAATGCAGTCAAACGAACCGATTTCTAGCTTGCTTTGCAACACTTGTAGCATCATATCGTTGATTAGACTAACATTATTTCGAACCAGCAAAGTTCGCGTTTTTTACTACAAGGTGCATCCACGATATCTACGGATATCATTGCTCTGTAATGATCCAACGGAGTGCTATAAGATAATCTTCGTTTCATAGAGCAATGATATTTAGAAAGAAGCTTATAGTCCTACGCATATCTATACGATAAGTAAAATAAAATAGAATGTACTTCTCTCTCTCTCTCTCTCTCTTTTTCTTTTTCTTTCTGCATAAGAATAATGTTTATTTTACAGGGACAGTCACGATCTCTTTCATTTGTCTACGATATATACAAAGAATCTCTGAGTTATTTTTCCCTATAATATATCAACGATCTTATTAATGTACTCTCAATTATTATTAAAGGTAGCAGAATGTCTCTGCTTTTTGTATAATGACATGTATTATATCAATAATAGAGCTGAGACACAAAAGTAAAACTAATAACTTGGGGGGATAATAAGTAGTTGTAGATCGACGGTCAGCCAAGAGAAACTTTCAAAGCATAAAAGCGATACGCATCAGTCGAAATAGAAAGAAGCTCACGTGGAGAAATTGTATATCGAAACAAACAGTTCTTGCCTGTTTTCTGCACATTTTGTATTAAATATAGCAAACGACAGCATTCATGTAAATAAAACGTATCTAGAAAATACGAGTACTTAAAAAAAGTAAATCTTGCAATTTATCACGAAAAATCGTTGTGGAGAACATGAACTTTCAAAATGTGAATCCTTTAAACGTTCGCATAAACGCTATCTCAGGCAACTTACTACCTTTGACGTCAAATAACTCACAATTTCCGATAACATGGAAGATATACAGCGCCGTTGTGTGGCTGATTGAAGTGATTCAAGCAATCGTGATAATTCCAGGATTCTATTTCGTACGAGAGGAAGCTTTGAAAAACTCTACAGTTACTTTCGTACTCACCATAGAGGTATTCTTTATGGTGTTGCGAATTCACGCTCAGAAAAAGCTAGTGAATCGATTGATCCAAAAGCTAAATGACATTCTGCATTTTGCGGACGACACTATGAAAAGTGTCGTGACAATGACTTTGAAGCCCATGGAGAATCCGCTTAAGTTTTATTGGCTAGCTGGTTGGCTATCTGTCTTTCTATGGTCCCTTACGCCGTTCCTGCTAATTCTCGACAGAGTTTCTTTCTTTTACGAGGACTACAGGATGCCAGCAATCTTTTCTAAACAACCATTTTCGACCAATATCTTCCTGATGGGCAACGTCTTTATGCTATTAGGTAATATGTATATATTTGTAAAGAAAGTTGGGGTGGATGTTTATATGATACATGTGGTGCTACTGATAACGGCGCAGTATCGATATATCGCCATGAGGCTCGCGACAATATTTCGAGATGGAAATGAGCTCGGCGAGGAATATCAGTCTAAGAATCGATGGATGGAAAAAGAAATAGTAACATTATGTCGGCATCATAATTCTGTCATTCAGTAAGTAATTGAATCAGTTTATAATCCGAAAATGATGCTAAATTTTGTAACAAAAATAACTATTTAACAGAACGCGTCAATGACTGATTGTCAATATAAAAAATAATCTTAGCAAATTGCTTTTTAATTTGTATTTTATTATATTTTAAGTGCTGTTAAAATATATGTAATTTTGTAACATATGTTTTCTATCGCAAATTGAAAAGCAAAAATATATATGTATATATATATGTATATTTTTTTTCTTAAATATGTACATACAATAAATATGATGAAATATGCAAGTCATCTCTCTGATATAAATAAAATTATATATATATATTAGATTTGTATTCTAGCTTATCATCTATGTTAAAGAAATTGCTATCCTTGAACTTCAGTTTGATCTATGTGAATAGCGTCTTTCGTTTTTGTTTTATTGGCATCATGCTGAGTACAGTGAGTAACAGTTGCTAAAATTAATTATCTCATTAATAATAGCAGTTAATAAATAAATAAATAATTCTGATTTTTTAAACGGAAAAAGCTATATATATATAATATTTTTATATAAATTACAGATATAAATATTCATGCAATATTATATATACATATATATACATATATCGGCAATATGTTTTCACATATACATGTCTTTAGGTACCGTCGATAAATTTTCTGGATGGTTTTTCGATCAGTATGTACGCGTGTGGCTCAATAGTGCAATTCTATATGTTGTGTTCTTGTGTTCAACAATTATTAGACGCGGTGAGTTTGGTTGTAATATAGTGTTTACATCGGTTTTCTTTGTTTCAAGTTCAATACTGATATTTATATATTAAATTAATACATAAATATATTTAAAAAAATTTATAAAAATTTATACTCCTTTTTAGCTTTGCAATAACAAAAAGATGATTTTTGAATAATTATTATAGATTTGTATTTGTAATAATTTGAGTAATATTATATATATGTATATAAATTTTATAATAATCTAAGTTTTCGCAAATATAAATAATGCACATAATAGTATTAAATAAGAAATAATTAATTAAATGAATTATTCACTATTCTTTCATGTTTAATTTAGAGCAAAGAAATGACTAATAAAGCATTTAACGAAAAGTGGTATCACTGTGGATCATCTGTAAAACGTATCTTTATGTTGATAATATTAGGTAATAATTTGGAATGCAAACTTTCAATGTGCGATAGATTTAATCTGTCTTTACCCTCATTTATGACAGTAAGTGTATATGTATTTTATATACTTTGACACATAATAATCTCATTCAAATTTTTTTTATATGTTATCTTTTTCAAATTTTTTTGACGATCTTTTAGATCTTAAACCAATCATACTCAATCGCTCTTCTGCTTTTAAGAATGAAGTGAGCAATAACAAATATATATTAGGACATGTTAGGACATATTAACAACAGATATTGTAGATATCTTAAATATATCGTATTTCTTAGAGAAATTTTTATTTTTTAGCCAGAGGTAACAATTAATAAATATATAAATAAGTAGCCATTTGAAACAAAGTGATATTATATATTAAAAATTTTATTATAGTATATCTTATAAAAGGCACTATATATAAAATATCGTTAAAAAAAATAAATAACTTGTTATTTTAAATACAGTATTTAATTATGCTACTTACTTAATGTTGTATGTATTAAATTTTTTAACATGCCACTGTTAATTTTGTTTTCGACAAAGATGTAGAGAAATGTAATTATAAAGATATCACAATTATTTAACCAAAAAACATGACAACAAGCTCATACTTTTTGCAATTAAATATAAGGAATGACCTATATTTAATTATTCCAAAAGTGAGGTATGAGTTAATATTAAATTAAGTACCAATTATTTTTATATTAAGATCATTTAAAAAAATTTTTTTTTTTTTATCTTTCTTGTAGAGATATTTTATATAATTTTTCGATAAAAATGGGAAGTCACCTCCCAAAAACTAGCTTGTAATATAAAAGACTATAGTCGAGAAGCGATTTACAGGGAAATCTATTTTGAAATACTTTCGCAGTAGCATATTAAGCTAGATTAACGAATAATTTTAAGGCCACAAAACTCGCGTTTTTAGACAACATGGGTTTCACGGCATTTGCGGATTTCACTGCTCTGCGCTGATCGGCGAAGCGCTATAAGATAATCGCCACTTCATAGAGCATTGGTAATTAGGAACAAATTTATAGTCACATGCATTTTTCTATGATAAATAGAATGAAATGGATCTGTAATAAATTTTATCGTTTATTTTATCGGCACACTTATAATCACATTTTTCATTTACCTGTAATAATATACAAAAACTTTCTAGGTCCTCATTTACAGAAGAAATTAATGGCATTCTTTACATCTTAACTTTCGCCTGCGTGCTTTATTGTTATTGAAGGTAGCAGTAGGTCTCCCTCGCATGATCACATATAATATATTAATGACAGCCGAGCAGTAATATTCAAGAAGAATAATGAATGGCTGTAGATCGACGGTCAACTGAAAGCAACCTTCAAAGAACGACAGAAAAGCGTCGCGCGCCAGTCTGGATAGAAAGGAGCTAGCGTGATGGTGGAATCGGGGCACACGATCTTTACATGGTACTCGCATATTTTGTTTTAAATGTATGTAACAATCAACATTGAGTAAGTAAACTATATTCAGAAAACACGAATTTAAAAGAAGTGAATTTTTATTTTTATCACGAGAAATAAACGTTATCTCGAAAACATGAATTTCCAAAGCATAAATCCTATAAACGTTCGCATAAACATTATTTCGGGTAATTTGTTACCCTTGTCGAAAGATTCGCGTTTTCCGATAACGTGGAAGATGTACAGCGTCTTTGTATGGCTGCTTGAAATAATCCACGCAATTGTATTAATTCCCGGGATTATGTTTGTGCCGCGAGAAAAGATCTTGAAAGACGGTACAGTTACTTGCGTGGTCACCATAGAGGTATTCTTTATGGTCTTGAGAATTCAAGCACGCAGAAAGCTGATGAATCAATTGATTCAAAAATTAAACGATATTTTACGTGTCGCGGATGAGACCATGAAAAATGTTGTGACAACCACCCTAAAGCCTATGGAAGATCCACTCAAATTTTATTTAGTAGCTGGCTGGTTGGCTGTTTTCGTATGGTGCTGTTTACCATTTCTATTAATCTTCGAGAAGGTTGCTTTCCTTTACGAGGATTACAGAATACCAGCAATCTTTTCCAAACAACCTTTCTCGATCAATGTCTTCCTAGTAGGGAGCGTACTTTTGCTGATGAGCAACGTATATATTTTTGTGAAGAAAGTCGGGGTAGATGTTTATATGATACATCTAGTGCTGCTGACAACGGCACAATATCGATACATCGCTACGAAGCTCGCGATAATATTTCGAGATGGAAATTTGCAAAATGAATCTGACGAGGAATATCGGCTTAAGGATCAGTGGATAAAAAAAGAAATGCAAGCATTATGTCGGCATCACAATTCTGTCGTTCAGTAAGTAATTGAATCAGTTTGTAATCAGTAAAATTGTACTAAAATGTGTTACTGATAAAATTATTGAAGAAAGCGCATCAATGGTGCGATTATTTTATCATAAAAAACTTCTATCGTAGCACATGCGCTAACTTTGTAACATATTATTTTTTTTGTAATTGTAAATTACAATTTCATAAGATCAAAATGCAATTTTACAACTTAATATGCAATTTAAGCCATAAAAAAATGAAACAATTTTGAGAAATAATTAAATATTAATTTACTATTTTTGCACTTTATAAGTTACACAAAATTATCATACTTTATACATGTCTTATATATACGAGTTTTGTTTTTAGTTTATCTTCTATGCTTAAAAGATTACTATCTTTGAACTTTAGTATGATCTATGTGAACAGTGTTTTACGATTTTGCTTCATTGGTGTTATGTTGAGTACAGTAAGTAGCAATTGCTAACATTAATTATTTTATTAATATTAGCAATTAATATATATATGAAAATCTATTTGTAGTTTTTTTAAACGATAAATCTATATTGTTTTAAAAAATATTAATATTAATATTAATATTTTTAATCATACAAAGGGAAGATAATTAAGAGTCAGTGTAGTGATTTCTGCGCAAATTTTATTATAATCAAATTATATTAACATAACAAAGACAAATACTACAACAAAGATTGTTCAGCTCGGACTGTTTGTTGTGGCATTTGATTTTTAACAGCATGTGCGGCTAACTTTTTTTCGTTATAATTTTGTAATCTGATGTGAACGACTTATTTATGACATGTTTGAACAGCTCAGTTTCTGTTCTTTATTTACTTTGTAATTACGCTGGGAATGGTCAAAAGAAGGACCAAAACGTACGCTTTTTATTATTAAGTTTATCGTGCTACTTTGTTATATTAATATAATTTAATTTCACTTTTAAAAAAGACTTGTTAAATCGATACTCGCAAGTATTGCCTCTTTTCTGCAATGCTGATTGGTTATCTCGACAACACATTACTTCAATATATCAATAAAAGCCTATCATGGCTGAGCCGCGTATTTGACAGTTCAAATATTAAGTACGTGTGTATAATTCTGATTTAATTTTGAAAAAATGGGTTAATACGTAAATAATTTTATAAATATGTGTATGTATGTGTGCGTATGTATGTATGAAAAAAATTAATTAACGCTGTTAAAACTCCATGGATTCGAAAAAACTATAGGAAAATATAATAATAATAATAGAATAGATCTCCGCGTTTCGGAAATCATAATTTTTCGCATGTCGTATAAAGACACATTCAAGGATTAGAATAAGTAGATTTCTTCGCATTTCTTTTTAATTAGAGTCCTGTGTAGCACGCCACAAAGTATAAAAGAAACTCTTAATTTTTACGCTCCAACCAATATTGCAAG